CTTTACGTAATGGCCGTCCCGCTATACTACACGCGCTCCTGTTAATGTTATGAAATGACATCAAACACAATTTCATTGTGGTGGTTGGGCTGCTCACTTTCACTTCATTGAAGGAGGCAATAATGAAATGAAGGCCTTAATCCAAAATGGGATAAGGAGACTCGGTTATACGCGTTTCCCACAAGTTTCACGAGTTCAGAAGAAGGTGTCATAATCGTTGGAATAGGCCATTAGAAAAACTGTTTTTTTAGAGCGGTGTGTGCTAATTGTGTACAATTTCAGGATATGAGAATTTTTTAGTGTTGTAATTCCTATGAGAGCTAAAAGTCAGATACGAAATAATACGCAAAGTTTTAAGATTTATTAGTGTTGTACGCTTAGAAAAGCTTAAGCTGGCAGTATCATGTGACCCCTTCGCAATAAGTCGGCTTTCTCGACTTATTTTAAGAATTTCAAACCCAATTATTTATCTTTGTCGATATGACATAAAATTGAGCAGTTTTTGGTTGTTTGAAGGCCAAATTCATTTATTTACAAGGCTATACGACATTTATGATTCATTTGAACCACTTTTTGAATGAGATAATTGTATGAAAAATGGTAAATTTTAATGTTTTCCATAGGTTAATCCATTACAGAAGTAAACAAGTACCACCTTAAGGTGGCACTGTATGACGTGACCCCCTCCGAATAAGTCGACTTTCTCCACTCATATAGAAAGCGTGCAAAAATTTCAGATCCAACCACCTTTTTCTCTATTGCATGAAATCGAGTATTATTGGGTTTTCGAAATCCACATTTATTTATTTACACAGGTAGGACATTAAGGATTCATTTTAACCCTTTTTTGAATTAGATTATTTACTAAATTGTATGAAAAATAGTAAATTTTAACGTTTTTCACATGTTACAACAGCGAATACAAGTAGTATTATACAACTTGAACACGTGTACGTGTATCTTTACCAAGCATTTTTTTACTGTATTTCCTCCCTACCAGAGTTTAATCCTCTTTTTGACAATCATCCCGCTGATAGTGCTGCTATTCTCCTACGACGCGCCGAGCGTCCCTCCTTCCGGCACAATTCCATGCCAATTAGTTCGATCCAAATAAAATAAGAAATTGAACCGCGCGATAGAAATACGTCCGTCCGTTCGCACGCGAGAAAGGAAAAGAATGAACAACCCGAGGCATTCAATTGTCTTGTTCTTCTTCATCACATTACGTGCGAGTTGCTGCTTTTCTTCATTTCTTCCCCACCCAAGCGACCAGCGGGATTAAATGAAATGTGGTGTGATAAGGCGTGCTTATTATTGGAGAAGATACGGTCAAACTGAAAACTACTGACTCTTCTGCATTATTGCTTTCACCCAGCAAGCAACACACAATGATTTTTGCAATGGCCGCGGAAGGGTGGGTGGGGACAGAGGGACAATGCCCCCACGATTATGCGATGTCCACATCATCCTATATAAACCCCTCGCTTCCCTATCATACAATGCTAATGCCCCCAGATGTCCCCACGGCTTCCGCGGCCACTGCTTGTACATGCTCCAATGATTATGCCAAAAGAACGGTGGCCGCGGAAGTTTGGGGACAGAGGGACAATGCCCTCGTCATTTACCCATCTTATATAAACCCGTCCCTAATCCTACACTGTTAATGTCCCCAGATGTCCCCACACCTTCCGCGGCCACTGATTTTCTCCTCCTTTACAAAGTAATTCCTCCTGTCTTGTAAAGTTGTAGTTGGTCGGTGGGTCGGTTGGTTGTTGGCAGCCACCCGCAGGTCACCGTTTGAGCGGAGGATGCCCGCAGCGAGGACAGCATGACAGAGTGACGACGACGATGATGAGAGGATGCCCCAAACATCTTGCGAGTGAGGGACGTGTCATGCAATTTTTTCCATGGAGAAAGGCAAGGGAGAAGGAGCTCGATTAAAAAGTGGGAGGATTGAAGAGATCAACGCTCCCCATGTTCCATATCGCAGATTGGATGTGATTATGAAACCATCCCAGTCTCAACCTCCCGGTGGGGACACTTTCTTCATTTTCTCTCATCTTTCTTCATCTCGCTGGCTCCGTTAGCTCGTGGCGTGGGCTTCTTGTTAATAACAAAAGGAGAGAGAGAGAAGAGAGCAGTGTTTCGGGGGGAAGTAACCACGTGCAAGAATTAAGGGGAGAAAGTGTTTTTTTTGGCAGTGAGGAAGTAACCACGTGCAAGAAATAACTGGGAAAAAGTGATTGTTTTGCATGTGAATATTTTGACCTGGGAGAAATGCAAGGGGCGCGAAACTAGGCCGCGCCGGAGTAAGCAGTTCATGGCTGGATGGTGCATATTTCTTGCGCTTTCTCCCAGGTCGCATTTCTTGCATTTCTTGCTTTTTCAGTGCAAAAAAATGTAGCAAACCGGCAGGAAAAGAAAAACTGCAAGTATCCACGTGCAAGAAATAACGCCTATAAATTGGTTTCTTGCAGATATTTTGACCTGGAAGAAATGCAAGGCACAAGAAACTGTGCGTCCCCTCGCAAAACTTCATACTTCATAATGCATATTTCTGGCACTTTCTCCCAGTTTCTTGCATCTCGCATTTCTTGCGTGGCTTGCTTTGCAGTACAAGAAATGTAGCAAACCCGCAAGAAACGAAGCACTGAGCGAGAGGACGATGTAAGGAAGCCCTACCAGGAAAAAGACGATGACGCCTTGGTCGTCATCACGATGATCGTGTCGCTTTTCAACCTAAGCGATATAATGTTTCGGATAAAATGCGATCGTTATACGGCTTCGTGACCATTGTTGTTTGTATGGCGAGTGGTTTGGTTACGGTGGATGAACAGTGGCCGCGGAAGCCGTGGGGACATTAACATTGTTGGATGGGGGAGGGAGGGGTTTATATAAAATGGGCAGATGATGGGGACATCGAACAACCGCGGGGATATTGCCCCTCCGTCCACACACCCTTCCGCGGCCACTGTGGATGAATGGATACGCCGAGAGAGAGAGAGAGAATTAATTGTAATATTTACCGAGAGAGGAGAAGAACCGCCCTGAAAAAGCAGCAGATGAGTTTCGGAATTGAATTGTAGCCCAAATAATTTTATTTTTTGCTGCGTATAGCAAAAGTTCTTGTTTGAATAACAAATTAAATGCTCGATCCTCTGTTTCGTTTCCGAGGACTGGGGGGAATTCCGGTTTTTGGATTCGAGCACTGCTACAGCTTCGGAATGATGATCTGGCAAGTTAGACTAAACAAATTACTACATATGTAAAGTGATCCCATAGTTTCGTTGCGAGGAAGAAAGTTGGAGACCTTGACACATTTTTTTATGGAGATAAGTGCTTTCACCACATATGCGGGATTACAGTGGCCGCGGAAGGGGTGGGGGACATTTGCATTGAATAGGATAAGGGAGGGGTTTATATAACGTGGGTAGACGATGTACTTTCATGATCCGATTGTTACCTGCGGAGGTACTCCGCAATCGGAAATAATTTATCACCGATGGTAACATATATACGGAGGCTAAATCCTGCCCAGCTCCCAATGTCACAGTTTTGGTAATAAAAATATTACCGACACGGAAGACAACTTCTTACCCTCAGAAGACTACGATATTGTTACCACCAGGGTCCTTTAACTGTTTCCTTGGAGGATTTCTAGACAGGGTCATGTCAGTTCAAAAATTCTCCAAAATTTTTTTTGGAGATTTTAATGTTTGAGAATATGGACTATTTTTGCTGGGAGAACTTGGTTGTCAAGAAAAATAAAATATTCTATAAAACGTCATAAATGCATGCGAAAAATTTTTACGTACCGTTTTTGATAATTTATAATTATGTGATTATAATTAATTATTATTATTATTATTATTATAATTAATTATTATAATTATTTTTGATAATTTATAATTATTTATAATTATATTCTAAATTATATGTCTAGAAATCCTCCAAGGAAACAGTCAAAGGACCCTGGTTACCACGTGGTAGAATTGTTTAGTACCTCCACCGGTAACAATGGTATCAGAAAATTATTGAGAATATATGGGGACATCGAATTACTGTATGGACATTGTCCCCACCGTTCCGCGGCCACTGTGCAGGGAATATATGTATATTATGACTCGTAATCCTATATTTTTTCAAATATGGAAAACATGACGTAAATACTCTTCAAACCACGAGGTTTCAAAATATGGCGGAGTTACGTAGCTTTATTAACTTTTATGGCTGGAAGCACAATTTGATTATTTAAACGTTAAATATTTAAGGATCAAATATTCACGAATTTTGATAGGCAGTGGATTAGATAAGGATTTGAGGAGGACGACCGGAGGCCATACAGAGACGAACAATAATCCAAAATCCTTATACTACATACGTGCATAAATACATGTTGGTGTAATATGGGATCTGTTGCATGTACTTACATACATGCAACAGAAGTATGTTAGCAAGTATGCATAAGCGTTATGTTACGTATAACATTGTTAATCCAAGTGTGGACTGTGAAAATATTGACATTTGTTTGTAGTAGATGATGCGAAAATGGAGAAATTAACTTCCACATGATTTCCTTGAACGGACATGTTTTTTGCGGAAACTGGAATGAAATGACCATGAAAATACACTGTTAAAAATCGGGTAGAGTCGTCACATATATGTAAATTTGTAGTCCGTAAGTACTGGGATTGATTTGGTAATAAATTTCTCTACCCGAATGGTAGTAGTTTGCTTGTGAGGAGTAAATTTTTTTAGTACGATAACATTACTAACATTATGGGAATGTCCGTTATTACCAGTGCGGGTAGAGTATTTACTCCGGTCAGTAAACTGATAACGATTTAACGATCTGGTAACGATTTAATACCAGATTTTTAAGAGTATATATTTTACGTAATGAAGTGTTGCGCCATACAGAATTTCATAATGTCAAAAAACTGTTAGCCAGAAATGCAAGATTACCCGAATTTTGAGAGAATTTGTGAGAATAAAATTTCTGAAAATTATATAAGTGTATTTATTTCGGATATTACGTAACATCGAATACTTACATGCCAAAGTTTGGTAGACATACATAAAGATAAAATATTCAGGTTGAAATCCTTACATAACTAACACACGGAAAAATCTCCTTTATCTTCGAGATTTATAAGAACAATCCAATATTTCATGGATGGATGTAACACTACACTAAATAAGTACAAAAAAATGTGTGTTTGCCACCAGTGGCCGCGGAAGCCGGGGGGACATCTGGGGACATTTCCATTGTAGGATGGGGGAGGGAGGGGTTTGTATAAGATGATGGGGACCTCGAACAACCGTGGGGACATTGTCCGTACACTTCCGCGGCCACTGCACTTCCATCCGTTCCTGTGCCCACTCCAGTCAAAACACAATTTCGCATTTCACGTCCGATTTGAACCTAAAAAAACCCACATTCACATCCGTCATTTCTCAATAAGAAGGGAGAAAATATTGAATAAATTGAATCTCCGAACATTTTTTTACTGCTCCGAAGAATTTTCTCCAGATTTTGTGTGTCTCTCTCTCATCGCATTTATTATGCATTTCTTTGGCAAGATGACGATCCGACAGAGCACCACCACCACGACTATCACTGGAGAAAGTGGCCGCGGAAGGGTGCGGAAAATGTCCCCATCTTATATAAACCCCTCCCTTCCCTCCCCTATCCTACAATGTTAACGTCCCCCCGGCTTCCGCGGCCACTGCACCGGAGGGAGAAAGTGGAGAAGAGAAATATTATTTAGTTTCGCGTTTGGAGGCAATATTTCACCACTTTTCCGTCAGTCATGTTCACCTTCAGCCCACTTGAGCCAATTTAAGACTAGAAAATCCTTTTAAAATGAGCTGAGAATTCATTCCTGGAAATCCTTTGCACGGCGGAAATTTATCTTTATTATTTTTTCTATCTGTCTCTCCTCTCTTCACGTAAGAGAAAGTTGGCTGGCTTTCTTTTTCCTCGTTGCAAATTTTGTTGGTGAGTTTGACTTTCTTTCTTTCTTTTTTAAAGTTGGGAGAGATTTCAGCAGGCAGTTGAAATGGTGCTGAATTCATTACAAGAAGTTAGATATTTCTTGAGGGAGAGAAAACGGGTCAAGTTTTTTTGCACATGTTGGAACTGTAACTTGCAAAAGAGGACGAGATGACGAGGAAATGATGCCAAAAGTGTGTAATGTGTCGTGTTTATGAAGTTCTTAACGTAATGTTTGTCATAACACTTAAGTCCGCTTTTGAGTGGGAAGATTTGTGCAAATTTTTGATGGCGTCAGATACGTATTCTTCTCGGGAGGATGGATATTAATACGCCAAAAGTTTGCAGTGTTTCATGAATGAGCGTGATGGGGCGTTTATTGAGCCTCATTTGCACATACTGTTTTTTTTATTAGTAAACATTTGCAAACTTTCACTAAACACGTGACACGTAAAAAGTTGTTTGTATTCCAGTTGGAAACTTGGGGTACACATGTAATTTGCACTTTTAGTGTTAATGCGAATATCGGAATAATGTCGTGATTGCAAGTGTTAAAAGAGTAGTTTTCAGAGTACAGGAGGAGTAGAATTTGATGGGGGTTGCACCTAAAATTAGAGGTTTTATTCAGGTCAGTACTTCCGTTGCAGTTTTGAGTATATACGTGGAATATTGAGAAGTGAGGTTTTTCAGTGGATGCTCTCAGATTTTGAGGAAATTAGTGGCAATCGAGGATAAATTTGATTAGGATGAAATTTGCGAAAGACACGGTCTCCCAATGGGCACGTTTGGCGGGGATATTTGCATCCGAAGAGGAGAAAACGCGTAGAAAAGTTGACAAATTTTACCGTTTTCAAATTTACTGCGTGTTTTCTACTCTTCGGATGAAAATATCTCTGTCAAACGTGCCCATTGGGAGATCGTGTCTTTTGCAAATTTCATACTAATCATATTTGTCATCTATTGTTTGCCCAAAATCCGAGAGCATCCGCTGGGAAACCTCCCTTCTCAGTAATAACAATGCAAAATGCTAAGAAAACTGAAAGCACGCCTCAATTACCAGAAAGAAGCGGTCTATTATTTGGAATTGAAGGCTGTGCATTTGGAAATTTCGCTTCTGAAATGTTGATTCTCTTAAGTCGGTAACTATTTCCAATTGTTGCGGTACATTTTAGCTCCAAACTGCCATGTTTAAAGTGGCGAGGTTCCACGAGGAAGTGCAGCCCCAGGATGGACGTCTCCAACCCGTTGGGCTCAGAAATTGGGACGAATTCGCGAATCTCGCCAGCCTCCGCCTATTTACATTTCAGACGATCATTAATAATAATATTTGATGTGATTTGACTATTCCTAGAATTTTTGTGGGATGAAATCCTGTTAAATTAGTCATGGTCCGCAGTCATCAGTGGCCGCGGAAGGTGTGGGGACATGTGGGGACATTAACACTGTAGGATAGGGGAGAAAGGGGTTTGTATAAGATGGGGAGATGATGGGACATCAAATCACCGTGGGGACATTGTTCCTCTGTCCCCACACTTCCGCGGTCACTGTCACCTCTGACTTTATCATTGGAGCATGTTCAAGCAGTGGCTGCGGAAGCTGTGGGACATGGGGGGACATTAAGATTGTAGGATAGGGGAGGGAGGGGAGTTTACATAACATGGGGAGATGATGGGGGCATTGTCCCTCTGCCCCCACGCTTCCGCGGCCACTGTTCCTTTGGCATTATCATTGGAGCATGTACAGGCAGTGGCCGCGGAAGCTGTGGGGACATTAACATTGTAGGATGGGGGAGGGAGAAATTTGCATAAGATGGGGAGATGATGGGATCATCTAACAACCCTGGGGACATTGCCCCTCTGTTCCGCGGCCACTGTTGGTCATAAGGCGACACCATAACCCTGAATTGCTAACCTTTTCTTCGTTGATATAAAACATGAGGGATGCGGCGGGTTGGCTGTGGAAGGAGGTGCAGTTGGCGTTGATAGTCTCGCCCACGCTGACGGCTGGATGGATTCCAGTAATCTCCGGGTCAGCTGCGGGAGGGGCTGATAAGTGACAAAATAAACTCGATAAGGCTAAATTGAGTTGCTGGACATGTACATGATGTCATTGAGATGAAATGAGCATATATAAATTTGCACGATTCTACCGCAATCATAAAATTTTTGCTGCAAACAATAAAAGTTATTTATACCAATCACAATCATGTCCCCGGTCCCTTGTAACGTTCGGAAAGAAGGACGGTCTGCGGAAACTTCGCATTTGTAGCTGTTAAAAAACAGAATTATTAAGTTTTATTTAGAGAAAAGGAAAGATTCTTGGTTTAATTATGTACTTTACCTGCCACCCGATTGCAAAGAGATATTTCGTAGCATGACGTGATTCAATCCTGATTGGGAAACCTAAAAGTTCCGGAAACTTATTAAGTAATTGGTCTAATTACTGTTTCGATGAGGTTACATGATTTACATAGTGGAATATCGAGTGTGGTTGATTTTATGTGGGAATCTGTTTTTTGCTTTTGTTGGAAATTTCGAAAATTGACTAGAAATTTATGCATGTTGTTGTGACACGTGTCAAATTCCACGTGAATACATTTTCCTGATACGTTTCTCTCGGTATATGCGTAAATTGCACTCAAGGCTTGATCTGCTTCCAGCTTTTATTCTAATTAGTTAAGCGATACGCTATGTTGTAAATGGGGTGCCTGTTTTTCCACTCTCATCAATGTTAACCTAACCTAAACAGCCCGTCACGGTCATACCAGCAGTGGCCGCGGAAGGGTGTCGACAAAGGGACAATGTCCCCACGGGTATTTGATGTCCCCACCAGCTGCCCAACTTATATAAACCCCTCCCTCCTATACTACAATGCTAATGTCCCCACGGCTTCCGCGGCCACTGCACAATAGACCAGCAGGAAAACGGCAGAGCTTCATCACAACGTTTTGGCCCTGCTGGTAATAAAACAGCTCGTGGGGCTTTTGTGAAATATGTGGAGCAAATCGTGAGAATTTAATTTAATTAAAGCAGCAGCAAACGGTAGTGCAGTACATGCCGAGCCTCAGAAATCAGTGGCCGCGGAAGGTGTGGGACATTGCCATTGTAGGATGGGGGAGGGAGGGGTTTATCTAAGATAACCGTGGGGACATGGTCCCTCTGTCCTCACCTCGTTTCCGCCGCCACTGCCCAGAAATGATGAGAAAATATGAGGATTTCATTTACGTTCCGCATATGCGAAATGATGAAGGGCTCCCAAGCTTTCAGTCTGGACGAGAAGAGCAAGCTTCATAAATGGAGAAAACTGAGTGGGTGGTACTACTCACAAAAAAATGCACTACTTTCAAAACTAAGTTTGTCTGTAGTACAGAGTTTCGTCCAGATTTCTCCAAACGGTTGTGCGGGCTCGTGTCATAATGCATCATTCTCTCGACACGAGCACAAATGTGAAAAGTGAAAGGTAGGTCAAAAACTAAATATGAAATGGCACAGTTCGCAGACAGACCAGACCAGAAGTGCTTATTATTGTTGTTGTACATTATTACAAAACCTCATCTTCGTCTCAAAAACTTTGCGAGGGCGAGAGGATAACAGTGCCCATGAGAAGATCCAGAATAAAGATAAACGGAAGAGGTAGTAGGAGGGAGGAGGGTGAGAAAACATGGGCTGCTCGAGTTCATAAAGAACTTTACTAAATATTTTATCTCTTTCTCCTAACCAACTCACCGAGACAAACGGGAGCTTGTTTGTTGCCGTGAAATCTGTGCCGTAATTATGAGGAGTAATATTTCGTTTTGATAGCCCGAGTCAGGGCTTACGTACCCGTCATGGCTGTCTGTCTGTCTGTCTGTCTGTCTATTTATATTTCTATCGGGTACGCTCGTAAAACTTATCCAATCGAGTTGAAATTTTGCAAAAATGTATAATATGCAAAATTAAAAATCAAATTCTAAGATGAGGAAAATCTATCGAAAAATTATAACGTTGTCGTAGTCGTATCATACCGTTTTCAATGATTGATAATAACCTGACTCGGGCCGTGCACTGTGGGTTTTTACTATTATATGAACTACTTAGCCCATGAATTAATTGTCTTTCCGTAAAGAAATTAAACAATGCAATATTTAGAAGAGAGGGAAAGTAATTATGCATTTGGAGCGGAAATAAGATACAAATATCAAATATCGTGGCAAAAATGATGATGCATGTATACATGCATAAGTAGGTAGGTCTACCTCATGGAATATATATGATATGTAATGGAGAACACGTTTCCACACTTCACTCTGCCCGATATCACGTCAATCTCTGAATATGTATCCGTCCGTCTAGCTCCTTTCACTTTTTCCCCTTTGAAATGTCTCGAATTGGGTGTTTGTGTGTGTGAGCCAAGAAATGTAGTGAACAGGATTCAATGACTTATACTACGTATCAGGTATATTACACCAACACCAGTGGCCGCGGAAGCGTGGGGACAGAGGGGCTGACAATGTCCCCACGGTTGTTTGATGTCCCCATCATCTCCCCATCTTATATAAACCCTTCCCTGCCCCATCCTTCAATGGAAATGTCCCCACCCTTCTGCGGCCACTGCACCACCACCACCACGAATCCCATATTACACTAACACAGTGGCCGCGGAAGTCGTGGGGACAGAGGGGCTGACAATGCCCCCACCGTTATTCGATGTGATGTCCCATCATCTCCCCATCTTATATAAACCCCTCCCTCCCCCATCCTACAATGGCAATGTCCCCACGGCTTCCGCGGCCACTGCACCACCACCACCACGGATCCCATATTACACCAACACAGTGGCCGCGGAAGCGTGGGGACAGAGGGGCTGACAATGTCCCCAGTAGTCCCCACGGTTATTTAATGTTCCCATCTTATACAAAACCCTCCCTCCCCCCATCCTACAATGGCAATGTCCTCAGATGTCCCCCCCGGCTTCCGCGGCCACTGACCACCACCACGAATCCCGTCAACAACCAAGCAACTCTCCAAAGGGGAAAGAGTGGCGAATGTTTCTTTCTTGTCATATCCATTTTTCTATGAAGTCTTCCAGACGAGGCGAACGTAACAAAGGAGAAGCTTTACAAACTGGAGAGAGAGAGAGAGCGGAAATGGCCGTGAATGCCCTGGTCACACGGAGAGGACTTTGGAGTGCGAGGAAATGGGCAAGGAAGGAAAATGGTGTCACTTTCTATTTCTTTCTACTTATAACCAGGGCCATACCATACAAAGAAATGTCTCGCAAGAGTAAGAGCCCTCGTCAATATAAATAAATGTCGGACACTCATTCTTAGATTAGATATATGTATCTAGGTACGTCTACAATCGGTTGGTGGTGACAAGTAAGGAAGAAAAAAAAACTGAACACGGGGGCCAGTGACGGCGGAAGCGTGGGGGCAGAGGGTGTTCTCAAGGTTATGAAATGTTCCGATCAGGGTTCCAGTTCTGGTCGTGCTATTGCTATCACGTTATCTTAGATTGCTGGAAAATTTTTAAGATTTAGAAATGAATGGAATGGGACACGCACATATTTTTGGTAGTTGGTTTTGAATTTATATTTTTGTGTCGCAAAGTCGCAACTTTCCATTCTTTGCAAGTTACAATTTTGAAAAGTGCTCATATCTGTGCGTTTTTTTTATCTAAAAATCGATGATTTGTAAGATAGGAGGTTAGAATTTTAATTTTTTTTTGTTCCTTGAGAAAATATGTAATCCTTACTTATTATTTTTTTAATTGAATTTATTTCTATTTTAAAAATCTGCATGCAAATGTCTTATGGCAGTTTGGTCGCATTCGAAATATGGTGGTGCGACCAGAACTATAACTCTGGTCCCCTGCCCATATAAAAAACCCTTCCTTCCCTATCCTACAATGTTAAAGTCCCCCGATGTCCCCACGGCTTCCGCGCCCACTGACGACATGGACAAAGAGAAAGCTCCCCTACCACACCACCAAGGCAAGATCATCATGAAACCATGACTTTGCATATTCCTCAGGGAAAATTGGCTTCATTTCAAAGCAAAGAAAAACGAGACAAATGTGAATTTTTAGAAAGAGGAGATCAAAACGTTACATTGACGTGGACGCCGGCCGTTGGAAAGTCCAGGATGTTGGGCTGGATGTTCGGCGAGTATCGAAAAAACTCGTGGCCATCTTTATACCATTTGAGAACGAGGAGAGGCTCATCGGCATCCATGACGAAATCACAGTAAAGCTTGACCCACCCGTGGAGAGACCCATATTTTGGGACCGTCACATTCTCCAGTTTTAACCCGAGTGCTGAAAGAAACAAAAACGGAAAATGGGTTAGTACATATCAATGTGAGGTTAAGATCGAAATGAATGTGAGGCAATGAAAGAGAGTCAAGTCGCAGTGTTTCGTGGCTTGTTAGGAGTTTGCATTTCTTGCATTGCAAATCAAGCAATGCAAGAAATGTGAGGTGCAAGAAAGTGCAAGAAATATGCGCCATCTAGCCACGCGCCATACAAACTATTTATAGCGCTGGGAAGGAGTTTCTCCCACCTTGCATTTCTTGCAGGTCAAAATAAATACCTGCAAGAAACCACGTTCTTATTGCCCTTATTTCTTGCACGTGGTTCCTTCCTTCCACCGGAACCACTGCTACATAAGTCTGTTTGTATACGGGGAAGAAAGTGACAATTGACTGGACTCAACTGGACAGAGGGTTCTATTTTTTTGGGCGTTTTTCCTTTGCTCGAAGAAAAGAGAAGCTAATTTTGAGTCGAGTCACTCCCCAGTTTGGCAGTGGTTTACTCGAGATGAATTTTAAACTGGGGGAATAATGGAATATCTCATTGCCATGCGGTCCGCCCATGTGGAGGCGAAAAGGATCCATTGTGTTTTCATGACAGAATCTTTGATTATTGTCATTGTCAATTTTGTTACTCTTTCACCCTCTGATTCCAAGCTTATTGTTTGTACTTGACAATTGGACTATTTCACCACGAGCACAAGAAAGAAGGAAGAAAATGAGAAAAATAAATTGAATTTTGTGTCACAAATCCAGTGCAGACACTTTGTAGACAGAATCCTAAAATATATTTTTTCTTTTTGTGGTTTGACACCACGATTTTTGCTACGTGTGGATTTGATTTTTATAATTTGGTACAGAAAAGGGTTTATTATTAAAGGCTGTATTATCAGAGGGCGGCTATGTATTTGGGAAAAATCGGTGAAATATGTGTTTTATTTATGAAAAGGTGGCAAAATATTTACGAAATATGTACATAAAAATTAGAATTTTCACAAAATTTATATTCTTGAAATTATTAAGTATTTAGTATTTACGAAAACAAAATGTCAAAATATTTACGAAATATGTACATAAAAATAAGAATTTTCGCAAAATTTGTATTCTTTAATTTAAGATGTATTTAATATTTGCGAAAACAAAATGCTAAAATATTTGCGAAATATGTACAAAAAATCGTAAAATTATGTAAGAATTTTCAAAAATATTCTTGAAATGTCTTCGTCTCAAATCATTGAAATATTTACAAAATTATAATATATATATATTTTTTTAATCCAAAATAGTTTCAAATAATGGAAGAAATATTTTCAAATTTTTATATGTCGAAAAACCTAGAAATGTGTAAAACTATTTTTGGGATCAATAAGAGTTTACAAAGTTTGACAGTTTGTTGTCATAAAATGGAAAAGTTGAAAATAAATAGATATCCTCCCTCTGTTTATTATTAATGTTGAGACCAAGTGTATCTTTGTAAAAATTTATTTTTGAAGCGTTCTTTTCTCCTATTATTTCCGAGTAAAACATAGCGTACATTATTTATAAATAAATAAATAGCCTACTTTTTTGCATGGTCGGGAAAATGAGATGCGATGAAATAAAACCCGTAACATTTAGATGACACACTTGCCCAGCAGCGACGCGATGCAGAGCCGTTTCACCACAAGGACTGTAACTCTGACCGGAAAAGAAGCAGTAAATCAACAGCTTTTATTTACGAGTTTATTCATCCTGAGAAGAAAGTAGGGACGGAAAGAGGATGTAAAAGGCAGTGCAAATAAATGTTGTAATTCAGCAGCAGCAGCAGCACTTTCATCCAGTCGCCGCGGAAGGTGTGAGGGCATCTGGGGACATTAACAGGGGAGGGAGGGGTTTGTATAAGATGGGGAGATGATGGGGACATCGAATAACCGTGGGGACATTGTCGACACCCTTCCGCGGCCACTGGTTTCTCCCAATCGAACACGGCTCTCGGCCACCAAATCCCTTTTCACTTTTAGTCTTCTCTTGTATGGATTGTTTAATGGGCTCTTTCACTCAGGAGAGAGACCGAGTAAATTACGAAGCTCATCTATAAGCACTGACTGACTTTTACCAGCCGAGGGTAAAAGTGGGCTTTTAGTAGTACAATTATTGCTATAATTTGTCAAAATGTGGTGATTAGAGGGACACGAAAATTGAAATTATTTGAATTTTATTTTTATATCGCTGGTGAAAACTGGGAACATTAAAATTTACTTATGTTTAGCATATGATTCAATTAATTATCACCAAAATCGTCAAACTGAACACATATTTAAGAAGCCTTCAGAAAAATTGAAACTGATCGAAAAACTCGACGCCATTCCATTAATTAACTCACTGATGGCAAATTTGTCGTTCAGAATTTTAAATTAAATTTCCTGAGGGGAGAAATGATCAAAAATGTGTTGATTTTGAAGATTTTGGCGATGAGTCATCAAGCCCTTACATATTTCCAATTCAAAATTCATTAGAAAAATTTGAAATTTTTTTTTTTTGCATTTTGACAAGGTCACTTATTTTTTATTTGAAAATGAAAAATTTCCATGGTTTGAGACGAGTATAAATTTTTCCAAAGTATGCAACCCCAGTAATTTCCAAATTTACATGTGTGTATATATCCTTCCAGGATGAATCAATTCGTTTCCTCTTAGGGTGCGGCCGTAACTCAGTCAACGAATTAATTTTGAATTATTTGCTAATTTGGTGGATTTTGCCAATCACTGACCATGAAGCCCGAGTCAGGGGAGTAGTAGTTAACGATAAATTCGATATCAAGTGCATTACACATTTTATTGTATTCTGATTATTCTGAGGACGAATTGGACCATTTACTCTCGACGAAAATTTTTTTAAATTATTTTCCTATTTTTAATTGATGAGTAATTGCTCTATTTATATTTTTACGTACACATTTTTATTTATTATTCTTCCGAGATTCGAGGCATGTCATACAACGTGTTAACATTAAGAAAAAATTGTATGTGCTTCAGTTTTAGGCCTTTTAAGGCCGTGAGCGAGAATTTCCATTTTTGCGTGACATTTTTCTCGCGAGGGGGGAGATAAATACAGATTCTCGCTTACGGATTCCATCAGAATTTTGCTTAAACTTAAAATGCGTGGGCATGAACTGGTTTTTTCCGATTTTGATCGGACCAATTTTAAATTTTTCACACAAGGAAATTAACAGAAGTCTTCGGTTGTACCAAAATCAGCCAAAGTTAAGATTTTTTAAATGATATAAATTTTTCCAATTTTGACCCGACTTCAAAAATGAAAGAACCTTTTTGCACACACTTACATTGTGCAAAAGAAAAATAAACTTTTCAAAACCTTTTAATTTTTCAAAAATTTCTGGTTTGTTACATTTGTCAAAATTTTCAAAATTTATCATAATTTAAAAATTTGTGCGAGGGTAAAAATCACGTCACGCCCACGAATTTTAACAAAATTATATATGATGGAATCTGAGAATCTGTACTTTCCTCCCTCGCGAGAAAAATTTCACGGTAAAAATGAAAATTCTAGCTCACTGATTTCGTCATAATTTCGTTTAAATTGAGCATTATGAAAAATCCTGAAACACGTGTTTAATGATTTATCTAATGCTACATAATTTTAGTGGTTTCGTCAAAATCTGAGCGAGACCGCTAGGGTTATCGCATTGTTAAATGACCCCCACCGACAACCACTTGACCAATCATGCCCAATGTAGAATGGATATTTAGCATTGGAATACTGATTTTTTTAAATCGTCATATCCAGCTGAAATGTTGCTTACATGTCTTAATGGAAGAATATGGAATGAAATTGGTAAAATTTTTATCTGTAGCGACTCTATGGGGTGCCGGTGACCCATCCAGATTTTTATAAATTGCTTTAAAAACATTAAATCCGGCATGGTAATACTTAATGGCTTCTTATAAATGAATATGAAGTTAAAAGTGAGCAAAGTGCAAGCAGAGTGACCCTGGAGGCTGACCCATACCGTTTTGAAACGTTATTATTTCATCTGAAATTTGATATGGGGATAAAAACCACTTCTGGATAGCACACCCAGCTTTGGAAGTTCAAGATGTTAAAGATTTTTATGCCAAATAATAGAAAATCTAACAAACATTTAGCTATCCACAACAAGGAGTTTGGTAATATTATGTCGGTCAATTCAGAGAAAAATTTAGAACTCTAACCCAAAGGACTCTGTCCCTGACTCGACTATATGGAGTCTGCCTGCACTGTAGGTTTTTATTGTGTATTTTAATTTATTATTTAATTTCTACGTTAGTAAAATTGTAACGCACAAGCAGTTTACGTAAAAGTATGAATTTGTGGAATTTATGAACAGACAGACAGACACATGGATACACAAGGCTGGATATTATAATATCCAGCTTTTCAAAAAATGAAATTTTCCATTTTTTCCGAGTTACGGCCGAACCCAGAAACACCGGCGTAGCCGTTAGTGATTGAAGAATCCTGATATCCTTCCTACCACATTTACCACAATTACCACAATTACCAAAAAAATGGATGACCAGCCCGCGACCGAGATGACAGATATGGATCCTCGCCAACGAGAAAAGGAATTTCTTGCCACTTGTCACCAGGAGTACCCGATCCCCATGAACAACATCTTCCAGGAGATTAAAGACATCGCAAAAATTGGGGAGGGGATTTTTGGCGAAGTTTATCAAGGTAATGTTCCCCTTCTGGGGGAAGGAGGTCACGGGGACACGTGCAACGTGGCCAGTGTCGTCTTCAAAATTGTACCCATCGAAGGGGAGGAATTTGTTAATGGAGAGCGACAAAAGAAATTCGAAGAAGTTGCACCGGAAGTCGTAATCACGGAGTAAGCATAAATAAAAGTTTCTTTTATGGAACAGTGTTTCGGGTGGAAGTGACCACATGAAAAAAATAACGGGAAGAAAGTGGTTTCTTGCAGCTAAATATTTTGACCTGCAAGAAATGCAAGGCGCGAGAAACTAC